ATTTACTAGCTTGAACATGTAAAAGCGCATAACGAATGGTTAGTTTTTAATATGCTCTCTCGAACTTGAAAAAATAAAAAAAAAGAAACGAATATACATGTCGAATTGAGTAACCTCCTCCTTTTCGAAGTCGGGTAAAAATGAAACATTTTTGTTTTAATTGTAACAATTCTAACAATGACTCCAATACAAAAGTCAAAATGTAATCGCGAATAAAGTTTGTGTTAATACAACCGAATACCGGTTGCTTTACACAAGGTTTATTATTTGTTTTATTTTTTTTTTTTTTTAAGTTCAATTTCGCGAAAGATGTTATCGAATAAATCGCTGGCTCAATTTCGCAAGCAGTCGCTAAATGAAATAATTGTACAGCCAGAAACAATGGAGCAAATTCAACAGCATAGGTACGAAAAAATAGAGCAAGTAAACTCGAAAGTGGAAAGCTAGAAACCGAAAGTAAAAGTAAAAGGAGCTAACTAGTTTTCGCAGATCTATCCGCTGGTAGTAATTAGAGTGATACGTTAATTACGCTGATTTTGTTTGCAACGATTCTTTTTTCCTTCCCCTTTCTGCTGAAAAGAGGAAGTATTTCTTAATTTGGCATTTTAACGTTATTAACAATGGAGAAGAACATATTAAAGATTTATACGAAAGGTTGTGTAATTAAAGGTTGTAAAAATGAAAGAATAGTAATTGTGAAATCTGAAGGTATTATTTATACGTTCCAACTCTTTTTTAATAAAAAAAACTAATTTATGTTGCGGTTTCTTTCTAATAAAAAGAAAATACAGAATGAAAAACACTGGATACTTGCAAATTATGACAATATATATATATTTAAATTGTATTATTTATTCAATTTTATATACTAAGTTGATATGTTCTATTAATACGTTAATTTAAAAAAAGAAGTCAAAACACATTATAGCCGAATTGATTGGCAAAAATTGCGACTTGAACGTCACAAATAAACTTACAACGTGCGTAAAGTATAAATGAATGAAGTTACGAGTCGTAGAATAATTTTACTCGATACTCGATATTTCGTAACAAGTGGCTGACCGTGAATACTAAAACGATTCGTTTAGAATTTATGCTGATTTAATTTACATTAATTAGATCATGTCTCACTCTAGGAAATTCGAAGAATCCATTTAAAATGCCGAGGTAGTTCAAGACCAACTTTGTTTTAGTATTTCATGAATGTTTAAATGTAATTCTTGCATGATATTAATTTGAAATTTAACTCGTTCATTCGCATTAATTTATCACCAGCAAATAGTTATACACTTCAGGTCCCTTTCAGAAATAAACTCAATTAATGCTTAATGTGACATGATAAATAGGAACAAAATACAAAACAATAAAGTTTAAATGTTACATATGATCGTATACATCATTATAGATTGTATTATATTACATTATCCATTTATTATATTATAACTTGAACATCATTTAAAATTCAATTCCCAAAGTGTGTGAAATAATGAGATTAAAAAGTAGAATATTATAAAAAGTAATCCTAAATTTACTAAATAAACGTTCTAATCAGATTTAATTGTACTGTGAATTCTTATATAGTACAAGCGAGTAGGTGCAAACAAAATAAATATACATGTAGAATTGAGTATCCTCCTCCTTTTCAAAGTCGGTCAAAAAAATTGCTATTACTTACACTTACAATAGCGTTTACAATTAAAAAGTACACCATATTAGGGTGAGACAGTATACTTGTATGTTACAATCAATTTGTAGATTAAAATTACTTTCATTTAAATGAGTGCACATAGTTATGTGCATTTGATTGAAGGAAAAAAAAATTCATTTTAAAAATTCATCCCCCAAGAGATTAAGACACGTGTCTAATTATCCGAAAGTAAATTTGTATTTTAGATGATAGTAAATTATAGCTTTGTATTGAATTCAAATTGGCAATACCGTAATGGTAATTTAGCTGGCAAGAATGGTGTAGGTTCCTGTTTTGTATCCTGCACATGCATATGAATAAACATGTTGTAGCTGTTTATATGAGAATAAAATCGGAAGCGTAGAATATACCTAATCGATCCTGTTCAATACTTAATCAATAATGACTAAAGCATAATAGAAATAATAATCTATCAATTTCCAGGCCACGCTACTGCTAGTAGCTTCGACAACGGTATACTCGAAACCAGCTCCGGAACCACCAGTAAATTCGTACTTCCCTCCATCGAGTGGTGGTAGTCTTCCAAGTGGATCCGGAAGTTATGGGCCACCTTCGCTACCAGACCGTTACGGGCCACCTCAGCAACAACCTGTCGTTCACAAACACGTTTACGTTCACGTACCACCCCCAGAGGCTCCGGAATACAAACCACCAAAATACTTGCCACCTGTAGCACCACCCCAGAAACACTACAAAATCGTGTTTATAAAGGCGCCAACGCCACCAACGCCGACTGCTCCAGCTTTACCACCGCTGCCGCCTCAGGACGAAGAGAAGACGTTGATCTACGTGCTGGTGAAGAAACCAGAAGAGGCTCCAGAAGTGGTGCTGCCTACACAAGCGCCAACGCAACCTAGCAAACCAGAAGTATACTTCATTAGATACAAAACTCAGGTAAGAGCTGTTCAATTGTAAGATAATTATAGAAAACATATTTATTGTGTATTTATTATATTTAATTACAGGAGACACTCTTTAACCCCTTATAGCGCGTACTTTATTTTACCTTTTAAAAAGAAGTGATACATGAGTACTTTGAGTTTGTTTGACTACTATAAGTAAAAAGAGTGAATTGTTTTATTATTGTATTTTTAAACGAGTACAGTTGGTTGCCTTGATCACGGGTGATTCCTCTACATCAAAAAATTACGAGATACAAATATACTTAGATTTAGACTCTTGAATGAAAACTGTATTTATGTTAACTGCACAACATGCATACATTTTATATAAAATACACAAAAGTTATAACCATGTTAAATATTTTACTTAACGCGTGGACGAATATTTCAACACAAACAATATAACATTACATAACAATTTTTAAATTACAAAATTTGATTTCTTACTCGCTAATCATATATACGTACAATTGTTTTCATTATCTTTCGAATCATTATTTAAAAAAAGATTCGAAAATTTTTTAAAGAAGTCGCACAATGTATAAGTCAATGTATAAGTCGTACAAATATAACGAATTTATGTTTCTCGCTAGATATATGTAACATTTTACTCTGAAAATATGTTTAAACGGTTATTAAATATATTTATCTTAATTTACAGAAAGAAGCACAGCAGAATGCAGAGTACGGACCTCCTCCACAATCGCCTCCATCGGATAACTATGGCCCGCCGTCATCAAACCCTGGAGGTCCCTACTAAATAGTCTGTCGCACATAATACAACACTCAACACGTCTGAATCTCTAATTATGGAGATTTTGCTGGAAATAGTTGCTCAGATGCAATTTTAGAAAATTTCAAAAATATTAATCTATACCAACAACTAGATTTAGACACTGTGTCTATGTTAACCTTGTAAATTTGTAAATTAATGAAAGTATCTTTTGGTACTAATTAACTATACTTGCGAAGTTCATTGGGAAACATTGTACACCAGAGAAACCGTATAAACATACATATTTGGCTTAAATTCACTCCCTATTGTCATTTCGATATACATTGAAATTAATTGAAGAATATGACTTCGATTCAACATTTATGTTCTTGGATATGAATACTAGCAAGCAGAGTTACCAGGAAGCATAGTAATGTGATATTCTCAATCACCTGATTAACACGTGAAAATGATTGTAACTATTGTATGTATATTTTAATAAAAGTGTTTGTACTTTTGTAGAATTTCTTTATTACTTAATTTAGCTCAAAAGGAACTCGATCAATTCGCTTTTTCAACCGAACAGAAAGAATTTCTCGATTCCTGTTTCTCCACTTTCTCTTCGATTCTCAGATTTAAAAGTCAAATATCGTGTATATATAAAAATATAATAATATATAAAAATTTAATGTTTACCAATAGGAACTTACTGGTAAGAAAGCAAAGAGTGTAGAAAAGAAGAGCTGCGTAAGAGGTAAGTTTCAAAGTCAACAGCGTATTACACCGAGAAATTCTTTATGCTTGTTAACTAATGTCTTATTGTTTGTTTTAGACCAACTTTAAAATTCTTTTGTACTTTTCAGTATAATATCTTGATGACAACAAAATTTGGTCGCTTTCGTTTAACAGTCTTGTACAAAGAACGATCATTTTTATGGAATAGTCTATACATTGTTAAGCATATGCAACGTCGAATATCCCATACACAGAATGTGTTTATATTTTTATAATCGTTATATGTAGTTAGTTTGCACAGCCGCTATCACATTTTTTTCATATTTCAACTTCTTAATGCTGCATATTTAGTAAATAGATTGAGGAAATTTGCACTCCTCAAATTATATTTAAAAAAAATATGTACTCTTCCCTTATAGTAAAAAATTTTTTATAAAGCTTCGCCGCAATAAATATTCTCCTGATTGCTTTGCAAGAATTAAACAAGAAGCGTTACATTTTAACCAGGAAAAGTGATTACGATCGCCAATTTAAGCTTTACACAATAATATAGTGACATTGAATGTATTCCAATCGTGAATAAATAGTCATAATTATTGGCATCATGTATGATTGGTTTAATCTGTGATAATTGGTTAATGAAATATATTGCCGTCTTCCCTTAAGTAGTAAGCCCCATTGATTTGACACACTACGTATTGTCAAATCACAAATGTGTCCTCAAAATTAAACAGTGTGATAAGTAATTAGAACGTATTGTTAAAGGGTATAAGAGTTGCTTCAACTAATTTCATTTTAAAGTTAATAAATTCATAGTTAAAAGAAGCAAATTTAAATCATGAGCAAGCGCTGGAAGAAATTGGTGAACATATTTTTTGTCCAAAGGAAACTCAGTTAAGAATTTTGAAAACCTACTAGAAAATAACCCAACTAAAAATCGTTCCTATTTGTACGTAAATTGCAAGTGTTTATTACTCTCTAACTATATAAAAAATTATTATTCATCGTCTAAAAACATAATATGTAAATGTTTCTTATACCTATACAATTTGTTTACTTTTCACACACGAAGAATTCTGCCTTAACAAAACAATCGAGAAAAAAAGTTATCACATATTAGTCCCTTAAAAATTCGCCTATTTACTCCGATTTCCTGGAAGCCTTTTTAAGAAGGAATTTCTTAATTAATATAGAAACAATTGGATACGACAGGTAAATTATGTGACCACAGTAGTAAACGGAAGAATAAACTTGATGGTAACGAGAAAATGATAATAAAACGAAACACACGAGACAATAACCCATGAAAACAAATGTATAAATTTTTGTAAGTATCCAAAACAGGATCCGAAGTTCGCGATGGGCTTTTAATAAACTCTGCAGCTTCTCCTGTTTCTCCAGCATCGCAGTCAACTGAAGAAAAAATAATGAGTCATTCATGCATTAATATCTAAATACATTGAAAATGAGATTAAAATATAAATAAAAATACACTTACATCTCTCTCAGCGTACATGATGATAAACTCAAGGAAGAAACATACATAATATCCCGAATGTAATCCATGCCACACTGCCAGAAAGAGTAACGTGATAAATTGGCTATACAGTTTTGATCCCAGAAATTTCACCCTCTTATAAACGTACTCGGCAGACCAAGTATTGGTGTTTATATTAAATGACATGATATAATGATTAAATCGATTTGCTGTTTCAAAAGTTAACAGTTTCACGTTTTCACAACCATTCCAAAGAGGTTGACCTTTGTCATCTTTACCACTGTATGTTAGACCAAAGGTTGTGCAGACCTAATAAAAAAAATGATCATTTCTACATCTGGTCCATAACTTAGATTAAAGATTAACAGTTACACATTCAGCAGATATTATTTTACAAATCGAAATAATGTTATTATAACGCTATTCTATACAGGGTGTGATCGAATAACATGTACTAACGGGCACGAGGTAATTCCTTATGAAAAAATAAGAACAAAATATGTAATAAATTTTCTTGAAAACTAAGCTTTAAATGAACAAATTTTATTGCATATTTTGTTCCTATTTTTTCATAAGAAACCACCTCGTACCAGCTAGTACATGTTATTCGGCCGCACCCTTTATATTTTTCTTTTCTTACCCCTTCAGTGAGAAGCCAACAGCAAATATATTTATAAAGATTTATTTGCCCCCAAATTCCAAGAAGCAGAAGACGCTTTAAGAAGGATTGTTTCCGGAATTCTAAACCTAGAAGATACTGATCCGAGATGTATGAGGATCCTAATTGGTAAAGCGCCATGTATAAAATTCCAACGCCCATTCGAGAAATACCAGGAACAACGCAATCCGGTAATTCAGTAGGGTTTCTCTTAGAATTCTAAAAATGCAAAGGAAAGAACATAATTATTATTTCGCAATGTCGATATATAAAATTTCGTAGCTATAATAGTAGCGTCTGTTAAACTTTACACAATGATATAGTGACATTGAATGTATCCCAATCGTGAATAAATGGAATCAATGAATGGAATCAAAAGAAGACATCAAAGTAAACTATCAAGGCTGTTTGATATTCTAACGTTTTGCATACAATCATTTTTTAGAATTCGCTTATAATTAATTAAAATTTCAATACGACTTACGTCATCCATAAGTCGTCCATTTACGTAATCCAGATATCTTTTCATACTGAATTGTGGCCCGACTAGAAATGACCCTGGAAAATACATATATGCTGCAATTTCCAAAAATGTTGGCTTCTCTTTCAAAGCCACTTTTCTTTGCGAAGCAGACAGCTTGTCCTGAAATGATGAAATGATAAAAAAATTTTATTTATTTTCTATTCTAATTCATTCGCTTTACTTATTTATTTACTTATACAATAAACATCTTGATGCGTGAGAATAGAGGTTCCCAATCTTGTTTCGGCCGTAACACATTTATTAAAGGACATCCACATACGTAACATATTTAAAAAAAAAAAACTAAAATTAACGTAAACGGACTGTTCTTTAATTGTAAAATTTACTATACATACTCTAAAAATATATGTATATTTAGAGTAAATATCATCAATGGAAAATTACAATCAAGTTGTAGACTGCAGAAAGATAACATTTTATATAGAAATTACAGAGTCTAACATTTTTTTCAATTTCATTATTTTCAATGTTGAAAATACTGGTTTACAAAAATATAAAGTGAAGAAATGTATTAAGTCAATAAATATATTATTGTGCCCTGAAACATGAATTGCATCATATGATCGACCGTTGCTCAATCAGTCCTACATATGTCCAGGTAAAGAATATCCAAAATCAACGACGTACTTCGACGCGAGGACTGCAAGCTAGCAATACTCGCGCCCTCATATCATCAGAGACAATAAAAACGACAGTACATTGTAAATCGAGAGAACTTGGACTAAAGACGTGGTTAAGTACACTTCATAAACGTTACGATCCTTTGACTCATCTTCGAATCCCGGTGACAACCCACGATATTCCAAAATCCATTAAACATCGCTTGAGGGCACAACAATATTATATTGGCATTTTTATTTATGATATGTGTCTCAAGAAATTTTAGTTAATTTTTTTTTTTTTGCTGCAAGAGCTGATGTCTGACATCATATTTAAATTATTTTCACCATTGCATAGTTCTAAACTTCTGTATCTATTAAAATGCAAATTTTTAGTATTGCAAATCCATGTAGACCCCGACCATATTTTTATTTAACTGGAATTGTTTGAATTCTTGTTATCAATTTAATTAAGACACTCATATCAAACGTAGAGGCTGATAAGTACTTTTCTATTTTTGATAACCACGACACAACTCTGTTACAAAACTATTCATCTCATCTTGTGGATAATTTGAGAACCCCTAGCCAGCTACAGTAATTCTGTCCTACGTACTTCGGATTTTCTTCCGTCCAATACATTGAACGCGAGACCAATTAATCGTAGAGTTAACACGCATTGGGGCATAGTCCATTTTATGTCGTAATCACTTGTACTTGTCGCATAATATCCTGCAAATGATAAAAAGAAATATTTCTAATTTACAATTTCATCCCTTCAGCAATAGATATATCTATTGTTGATAGTTAGTTTACCAGAGGTAGTATACAATTTTGCAATAGGACTGGAAACAGTATGAATAATTTAAAAGTTAAATGTATTATTAAATAATAATTAATAATTCTGTTGGTATAAGAACTAGTGCTAAAATTTAGAATAACATTATTATGTGATTTACACATTCCCTTTCATTTATTTATACATTTAAACATGTAACATTAGTATTTAATCTTTTTTTATTTAGATGATATATAACTACACAATTATTATTTACTATTCGACCTCAAATGAACTTGGAATCAGTTACTTCTTATTCTTTTTCCAACAGAGTACTTTCTAAGATACACAACGATTTCTACTGAATCTACTGGACTTCACTGTATCATTTCAAAGATTATAACTCCAATCTTTTCATAACTAAATATCTTAAAACTTATCAGTTTTAAGATAGATAAGCTTTAATTTTTTTTATACTGAGAATTCATTACTATATCGAATGCTGCTATGAAAAATAACATTCATATTTCCTCCTTGATCCTGTAATTGAACTTTGAAACACTATATAGTGTTTATTACCATTTAGAATTCATTTCCATGCATGATTAAAGTCATCAGAACCAGATGAAATAACTGCAAATTGTAATTTCCAACATGTACCATTTACGTTCAAACTAGGGCAACTATTGGTATTAATTATAGTCGAAAAGAAGTACAGAAAATATGTTAAACATTTATAATAAATAGCAAATATATTTGTCCGTTATTTATCGAATAAAGACAACTCAAGTTATTTTTATTCAATAAATAACACATATTGAGAACGTTCATTCCATTAAACAATTATTTATACAAACTACTGTTTGTTCAATATCAACTTATTTTGATTATACAACTTAGATTATAATTTTTATTAAACAAGTAACGAATCAAATGACGTATATTAAACAAATTATTTATACAAACTATTATTCGTTCAATATAAATCTTATTTCGATTCCATAACTCAGCTTACAATTTTTATTAAACAAGTAACGAATTAATTGTCGTTCATCTTTTACTCGTTACTCAAAATTGTTTATCTGGATAATAATCTTGCTCATCTCCGTCAGATATACGGCACACCCGGTATATTCTACAACTTTGGATAGATTGTGTTCAGATGTAACTTCGAGCAATCAGTATTACTTCAGCCGTCACGGCAAGAAGAATTGTAATGAATTATACATTCAAGTGCAACAACACAGAAAAAATCGCCTGATTCGTTAAAGTTTTCCGACGTGAGAAGAAACCTCTAATACAGTGATTTAAAAACTTGAGAAAATTATTTAAATAAATAATTAGTTTAAAAAAGTAAATGAATTATTCATGTAAACTATTAATTTAAACAATTATATAAATTGTAAATTCATCGTGTCGTTTACTACCGTGCATTACAATCTTCGTACAAGAAAGGTAAATATTAACGTTAAGTACAATTCTTATAATTAAGTAATTACAATTACAATAATTGTAAATAAATTAAATTAATTTTAATAAATCGAAACTTATTTCAGTAAAGAATATATTTTTATAGTAGTAAGGGCAATAAGAGAACAGAATTTATTTTTATTGATTTTACAAAAGAAATTGTCCCTCGACGTAGTTTCCCATTTTAAATTTTACGATCATGTCTTTGTATTCATTCATTAGTATTCATAGTATTCATCGATTAATTTTTCCTCTTTGAAGAAAGTATGAACAGTCGTGGAAAATGTTTACAATGAAACAAAATTTACATATGGGGAGTTTCTCATTGACTACAATGGTACTGTTTGTAAATTTTCTTGGAATAACATTAAGGATGGGGACATAATTTAAAAAAAAAAAGTGGTATTTAGTTTTTATTGTTTGGATAGCTTTTATAGAACTGAATAAAATTTGATTAACCCGCTTATTTTTTAATTATGTATAGTTAGAATTATACCGAAAGATTAAAATCATTTCTCCAAGTAGAAGCAAAGAAGTATTATAAGTTATATCAGTTCTTTTTTGGCAACATGAGAAAGTTATGGCAATCGATTCTGAACTGGTGAACATATGTATAATGTCAATAATACGTTGTACTTATGAATTCATTATCCCAAGTGGCGACTAAGTAGACTGAGACTATGCTTGCGTGAGCGTTGGGTTGCCTAGCACTAGGGACGCTCTGATAAGGAACACAGCTTCGAAAAAAGAGGAGATTACTCAATTCGACGCGTATTTTTTTTTCTGTCTGTTTCCCGATTACGCCGAGATGGCTTGACCGATCGGGATGAAACCTTTTGCACTTTGTAGAGCATGTCTCCTAATTGGTCCCGTTACCAAGACATTTTACGATTTGTCATTTTTTACTCGTTTATTTTTTTTCAAATAAAGAAGAAACGAATGAAGGACAATTCTGAATTCAATTTCATTTTATCAAGACAACAAACCAACAAATTGAATAAAATAAATATCTAATCCACAATAATAATTTAGAAACAATATGCGTACCTTCATCTAAATTAGAGTTTTAATTCAATGATATTAATATTTAATATAAAGAAATAATAACAATGAGAATTCGAAACATTAATTTCAGAGATCTCCTTTAATCGGCTTTTAAATAGCTAGTGAGCTAATCTATTGATTAAAATTAATTAGTAATGATGTGTATAAAATATATTGTGATCTTTACATACCATATAAAAGATAGCTCATGTTGAAGACAAGAGTGATAAAAACTGATGCGGAAGTACCACCAAGAAGTTTCAAGATAAAATATGTGAAGCATAATGCTACTGTTGAATGAACCGTATCAAATCCTGTAAGTAATATAAATTTTATTCGTATGATTCATCTGCTGAAAAAAAACATAATAGGCTGAAAGAAATTAAAAATAAAAATTAACTAACTTATGCAGATCACAGCAGTGAAATTGTCAATATTTGAATATTTTTTGGTATATCTACAGTGTAAATAAGAAAACATACCAGAGTGTCTGCGCCAGTGCGCATTACTTAAGAGAGAAGTATCAGTTCCAAATATGTAAATCATATGCTCAATTTATTTCAAATATCATAATTTTATCTATCATTTAAAACATTTATTTTATATTACTAATAATTTCAATAATAATCATTAAGTAAAATGCTACTACTTTATAAGAAAAGCTTGCTTAATTACTGACAAAGTATGAGTAAATGTTTAATTTTTTAATCTATTATGTTGAAATCTTCAAACTCATGAGAACCTTGAAAGATAGACAGTATGCAGTGTGGAAGAAACTAATTGTTTCTATAGCTAGAGTATGATTACCTTCATTGAAGAAAATATTGTTAAAATTTATTGTACTTGTTTATCTTCTGTCGATACCTATCAGAGTTTAATTTTCCATTTTGTGTATTTTCCAAGGATATGTTATATGAACATTAATTTATTTCCATTCCGAAGCCATAAAACAGTGTTGATTTTCCATCTGTACTCTAAAGAGGGCCATCGACAATGACCAAAACATAGAAATATAATTGTTCTCTGCACATTTGCTTTTTGTCCAAACAAAATTCCATTTTAATTAATTAAACATTAATTATATTAAGACCAAAAAATAAATTAAATTAGAAAGTAATTTAATATGTAGCTTACAATTATAATCAATGCAAATTTAATTGGGGAATGTATATTTAAGGTTTTCTAAATCAATGTAATACTAGGTAGCAATAATTTTTAAAAAAATGATACTTAAAATAAAATACAATTGATACAAACTATCCAAGAAAATAAGAAGTTGTCTAGCTTGTATTAATCACAAGATCTTCACATTTGAAGATGATCAATTAATACCAAGTATCTTTATAAATAATGCGCAGTAACACAGACACATGTATTTTAGACTCATCACTGTTGCAGGCTCTATTTACAAACGACCTAATCAATTAATTTATTTAGATTGTAATAACACAGCAAGTAAAAAATGAATTTAAAAGTCCAGCAATATATTAAAAAAGATGAAAAGAAAATTATTTTTCCAATTGCTTTGAAACAATCTGATAAATTTAATACAGATATCATTTATCATTATAAGATAAAAATTCATTTATTTCACATTAAAACATATTATAACAGAATACTGAGAAAATACCACATATAAGACCAGAAATGCAATCAAAGAAGTTAATGTGTGTAGTTTTTTCTCAAATACTGTACATCATTTAGTTAATGGGATAATAAGTCTAAATATAAATAATTACCAAAATTCCAGTAGCAGGTTAAAACCCCACAAATTATGAAATATAAATGCTGATAAACTGGAGTCTTTCCATATAACATGTACCTGTGAAGAAGGGCGATGGGTAATCCTGAAAGTTCAATTTCATTTACATCAGCTTTACAATTTATTAAAACATTTTAAAGTTTTATATTCATGGAATAGTGCTTTATCAACCAAAGCCTTAATCTTACAACTACTTCACAAATTCAATATTAGTACTACTTCAACTGTTTTTAATCTCAAAACACTGTCATACATAACAAATATTAATAATACTTTTTCTTAGACTTTTTAAACTGTATAATGAAACATAAAAAATTTCTAAAATGAAATTCTTATAACAACCTAGGTAAATTTTTCAGTTAGTATTCTATTATAACTTTTCAAATGAAAAATAATTGCTTCTGTAGCAATGTTTTGATTTCAAAAACAGAAACTTTATATGGTACGTACAGAAGTATATAAATGTGAATGTCATTTCAAAATATGTAAGCAAAGCTGAAGAATGATGAGATCTAAAGTATGGCATAAGCAGACAGCTGTGCAGTTCTAATTCTCGTTATTGTTGCCAATAACATAAAAAATATTATAATTCTTACCTAAGACTCATAACTGTCATAGTTAACTAAAGAATAAAATATAACAGTGAATATATTATTATCATCACATTTTATTATAATGAGTATTATCATAGTTTACTTTGTTATTATTGAAAGTTACTGTAGTTAGGGAATAATAAAACAAATAAAAGTAATACAACAAATAAATAAGTCATATTATTTAGACAATTAACATTGTTTTGTTTATTTCGAAATAACATGCAAAGTGCTTTAGATACTGACGTTATTTAATAAAAAATAATTAGTTTATGATAATAGTTATTAATAATTAAAACAATTGATTAATTGAAAGTTCTTTTCGCGCTGATTATGATGATTATATAATCATTGACGATGAAGAATTTGTATTGGTTATCAACAAATATAATTAATTGACTAAGTATACGGGATTACTGTAAAAAGTTAAATTCAGCTTATATGAAAATCAAATATCAATATTATTGTATATATATAGGCATGAATCAAGTGTATAACGTTTCATAAAACATTTCACAGCCATAACCAAAAACTCAAAATTTTTTAATATAGAAACTATACAGATAAAAAAGACATAAAAAAGATATGGGGATTCAGCAAAAGAAATACATGGAAAGTATGTCGATTAGACAATCAATGATCATGTAAATGATTGAGGTTATCATTATACACTCGCCATTAATATCACCATTTTAATGTCGATATAATTAATTATTTATAATTACCAAGGAAAATGGAGATAATAAGACGAAGTGCGTCCTCAGATGCATTTACAGCGCCTGAGATACTCGATAGCACACTGCTAATCATTGTTGATTTTTCCATCAAAATTATTCTTCTATATAGATTAGAAAGTTCTAATTCAATCTCTCAACTCATTGAATAAATCCTATAACGTTCCCATTGAATTCTCCTTCTATGAACGAATTCTTACTAAACAAGTTTGCAATTATTCCGAGCAACACTATAACCTTTCATCACTGAGGCTACCAAACATTAATACTAAAAAGCCAATGATAAATAGAATTAAAAGTTTGCATAACGGCTGCACAAAGTGTTCTGAAAGACACTCGATTAACGTAAATAAGAAAAGAATTCTCTTGGAAAATTGATAAGGGGAATATCAATGATGCAGTTAAACAGATGATTGAAATCGGTAACGATAAAAATCGTTATACATAGATGACTGTATCGTTTCAGCAGATGATAAGGATAGAGGAACAATGAACGCAGCAACACAGGATGATGTAGCGCATTATTTTGTAAATAATTGCACACTGAGCATTGTTGCCGAACGCCTTTCTAGCAGTTCAACTTCTTCGAGTACCTGTAATTTCATCGAATCTCACTAGAACATTTTAGAGGTACTTTTCTGCAATACAAACCTTACAAACATGCAACAAAAAATCATTTTTTATGACCCATCACACTAGAATAAGTCCAAGCGTGAATTGGCATAAATGTGAGAACAGAACATGAAAGTGACACGATACGATACAACGCAATCATTAGTCCTCGACATTACCGCAATTTGGGCTCTTGCACAAGAACAGTAACGTGCATAGCTTCTCGTAGACGCCCACGCATGATTAGGTAACGTGAAAATGTTGCAATGTGAAACTAACTCATAAAATTGATTGTTTTATCAATTATATTAACATTCTTTTCTCATTTAAAGCTCTTTTAACCATTTTTAATAACATTGTATATCATTTTCTAAATTGGTCTAACAGAAGCCTAAGGAATACCCATTTTTACTTGATTGTAGTTCATTACTGAGCGAGCCATTTTCGATGAGCATGCGCGAAGTTGCAGTATATCTTATCAATTGCATGCGAATGCGATCAGGGCTGGGGGTAGTTCACTTAAGGCCCCCAATCATGTCGAATATTGTTAAAGCCTGCAGGATTCAAAGCTGACAATGTAACAAAATAAAAATCTTGAGAATTGATGACATTAATGTGATAGCACTGTAAATAACAATAATAATAATAATTGAACGCTACTATGGGAGATGTAAATTCAGCCATTCTTCTAACAATTTTCACTGCAATTACACGTGATAAATTGGTTATACTAAAAAGAAATTACTATAGAACTCTAGAAACTGTTAATTTTGTACTTTTACGTTGATATTGAACAGTCCTGGTAAGTTGATAAAAGTGTATAGCCTGTTATGGGGGTCAAAACTTGACATCTTCTTGAAATTCCTAATAATTTTACCTGTGAACTTATGCTTTGTAAATAAAGTGTTACGTAAAATTGTTCAGTTAAAATTAATATAACATATATTAAATTGGCTAAAAAGGACGCTCAACCTTTATGGTGATGGTTGTCCTTGTCCCTCTGCAGTTTAGATGGTTATTAATTTGATCAGGATTTCTACAAACGCGAAATCATGAATTTACCCAAAAAATGGATAAAAATCATATAATAAAATGGACAATAACAGTAAATATATTTTCTTGTCTAAGAAACATCACTGTTTATTTGTGTGTTAAAATCCAAACGAACTTTTTGGGCAACCTAATATAACAATTAGAATGAACACTTTTCTTGCTCGATGACTCTGAAAAGTTCAACTATAACAAAGTAAACGAAAATGCATTATTTTTGTTTGTAATTAAATCTGATTCTACAGAGTAGGAATGAAAGATAATAAGAATTTACTGGTAATAAATAATTATTTAATAACTTAACTCGTCATATTATACATTGTTATAATCGCAATATAAAACATGAAACCGTAGGATTCGCTGAGTGGCAGTTTCCAACGACAAACGTACGTCTTTGATTCGACTCTTAGAATTGGAAAAATCGAAATTAAATAACCCTTCGCAATCCAGTTATGAAATTACACGAAAATATGTAAAATATTAGTAACTAGTGCTTGATAAATGATAAGGATCTATATATACACGTATCCCCCGTTTAGTACGTATATAACGGATTTCCGATAATGAAAATTGGCAAAAACAAAAATTTAATAAGCATTCATTTAGAACAGAAGTCATATCTTTAGAAATCAAAATTTAAATTATAAGATATAGCCTCATCTATTTGCTATTTCATGGATCTTGTACACGGTTTTTTATACAAAAATCGGGAAATACGTGTACTTAAATTTGTCAATGCAGAACATTATACTACTACATATTTAATGTTGAATTGCTCATTGTCTACGCCACATGGTCAACGAACGTCCCAGAAACTAAAAATTTGCTACAAAACGATTTTACATTAATGCATATAAGTGTGAATCAATTGTACATTATCTTTAAAGAATTTACTAAATATCTAAAAAAAAAGTATGATTCATAACTGGTACAAGAGATAGTCCTCTCTTTTAAGTATTTTTGCTTGGAAGCGGTCTACGAAGGGTAGATACATCGACACTTTAAAAGATTATCTCTAATATAGAGACACTAAACAAGCAATTCTATATAAATTTATAGGGGGTGTCCCAGGTAAAAAGCAATTAATTCTACAGAAAAATGCAACATTGTGGTATAGCATACATTTCAAATGATGCAGTTCTGTCGAACAATTATACCTTATGGGGCCGCAATTGTTTATCCATTTTGTATAATATTTCCTATTAGAAAAGCCGTCGATTCATGCTTACAAAAATATATCAACCGTAGTTTTGCGCAACGATCGACAATTTCGATCGTACTCCTTAATTCTATGTATAACACATTCAAAAATTTCTTTTATACACGCACATCCAAATTTTCCTTCTCGTACACCTCACTTAAACAAATTCGCTGACAAATAAAACGATTAAATTAATTTTGCATTTTATTCTTCTGCCAAGTTTTACTTTTCGTTTTGAATGTAATTGATTTATTATTGTTTATGATCGTTCAATAGTTGTTTTGCTTCTATCAGACTATACATTACTAAATGAATGAGAGATTTCAAATTTACGCTATTTTCCGCGTAAATAGCCGTCCGCTTTATTCTGTGTAATATTTACAAAAGTCAAATGATGAGTTGTGAGATATTAACAAGGAGAGGTCCTCGAGGTATGACGCTCGCTTCTTTCGCACTTTAAGAAACCTTGAAACGAACCATTCATTATAAAAGTGGTGCAAGTCTAGAAAGATGACTATTATGTTTCTAAAACCGTACCCATTAGTAAAATGTTGATAATGGTAAGTGTTACAAAAATATTTTAACTCTGTATTGTTTGCAACGTTATTCGTTATCATTCGTCTAATGATTTCTAATGGAAACCTTCATTTTTGTTACATTTTTTGAACACGTTTAGTGCCATGTCAGTTATCAGTAACTGGAATCAAATTTTTTAAATTATATTTTTATGGTAATAATTGAATATTTCGAAAATTATAAAAAATGTATCTGAAAGTCACTTTTTAACAAAAGTATTATCCAGCAGACTCGTCGTTTACCTTACTAAAAATTAAAATTGTACAGTTAAGTGTTACGAAAAACTTCAGATAATTGTCAATATTATAGGACAAGAGATCTGTATTTCGTAATCGCTAGTATGGCATAAATTGTCAACAGAATGTGTTCTTTCGACACAGAAACGCGAAAATATGATTTCAAATAGAATATAAACACATGGCTTGACTATGAGATAGAACAGTTCTAACACATGGACCAAACACATCTCATCACCAGAGGGTTAATAATCTGGAAGATATTTAACTTTATAGTTCTGAGAGAGTCTATCTACTCTTCTATAAACAGCACTGACATATAAAGACATTGTACAATTAATATAGGCATTTGCTTGCCAGATCTATACTCTTTTTGTGATAGAAACTGAGTTATGAAAAGAGTTATACATTGGACAAGAGTATCAAGAATATTTGTGTTATATCAAGCACAAGAGCAGTTTATGGCATTCACTCTTGATGATTCTTGGTGTATCAAACAGATAACGTCAGAACTTTAATGCTAAAAACTTCTCACATTATTAAATTGCGTGTAAAAAATATATATCATTAGCTTTAGTATTTTTAATTCTATCACTGCGCGAGTGAACGTCAAACCTTGGGACTTGTCCTTATAAAAGGCACTTCATAGTTTACGGACGATTATAGTGAATCATCCAAAATTGTATAAAAAATTGTTACTAATTAATTTTTCAATCAGTGGAATTATTTTGGTACATTTATGATTCATTTTTAAAAGAATATTTGCTTCACAATTTCGTGTGCCATCATTATTAAGAAATGAAGAACCAAACCGATTCTTTAACTTCTAATACTGCCTCATGAATTCGTTGAAGCCGATTTAATATCATTTTACTGTTTCTAAACAGTTTAAGTTTAGAGCAATGGTTTACAACTCTGCTAATCAGAGATTGCTAATCATCGCATAACAATATCAGAAACGACCGAGTTTTACGTGAAATTCAATTTTGTTCATAATAAATTGTATAAGTAACTTCCAATGCTTCTGTTCTCAAATACTTTTGTAAATCTAATGTTGGTTATAATTTCGTGATGATGATTCATGCATATCTCCAGTTTCTGTCACTATAATTAGTATTTAATGTTTCATAAATTCGCCTTTCAAAAAGTTGCGAATAAAAAACATTTAAAATAATAAACTTGTCTACAATTTTGATTAGTTCGAACAGGATATGTAAATGGTATCCTGTTCTCCGATAAGTTTTAAATGATAAACTCGGTCAAATAATCGAACTTTTAATATTATGCTTTTCTGACTACGAACAAAATTACATACTTTCGCCTAACTTTTAAACTTGTTGATTATTTTAACGTTACATACCCTCTTCTAATGAAATCTTGTAAACTTGATTTTAATTTGTAGTAGAATACACAAAATTGTAGCTGTAGAAATTTCACTAGTTACGCTATTCATTTTAAATTACGTTGCCAATGCAGATTCCGATACAGATTATTCTAGAACGTATAAAAATAAAGATATTCTTGGGCATTTCTGATTTCTGGAACTGACAGTATATTTCTATTAATTTTCTGATAATTAAGGGAAACTGGTATAGAAATTGTACTTTCAGATATTTAAATTATCGAATATCTATATAAATATTGTCTGTATATATCAGTTTTAAATTAATTACTTTCTTTATTTATTTATTAACCCTTTACACTCAATATTAAGCCACTTGCGTACGACTTAAAACTGCCGGGATATACTATCGCAAGACCGTCTGGAGCGCAAAGAATTGAATACATTTTTAATGTCTTTATAAATAATTAATAGATGTCCAGGAATCAGAAAGGTAACGTTACATATAATATCTCAAAGAGTGTACGGATATTCTGCAAGATAATTTTTAATTAGCGGTGGCAAGTGTTCAGTCGACAATTTGCACCTATTAACAACAAGTCTGGCTAAATGACTAAGAGACCTAACTTCCTTAACTAAAGGCTTCGTCAAATATATCTCGCTGTAAAGTTGGCCACTATAATCTACCCAAACCTCTTTTCTATGCTCGTCAACAGTTTTCGAATATTCTACATAATACTCCAGCATTTTAATTGGACAGTCAAAAAGTGGGATCGCGAAAGCGAGTCTAGGCTCAGCATCTAATCGGAACTGTCCCACAAAATAATGAACTCTAACAGAGGTAGGTCCCCTAGCGGTTTGCACAGATACAGCAAATGTATATCTGATATCGGAACTATCTCTCATCAACCAACGTCCGACTGCAGCATTCTTCAATAAATTTTCACTCTGCTGCCAACTAAGGCCTTCGTGATACCAACCACAAGTTTGTAAAAGTCTCTTGACTTCGCATAGTCTAGCAGCATCCTTGTCTATCATGTAACTGTCAAAACTCCAAGGACAAGGCATTAGCCATGAAACTGGTGTAGTTGGAGTTCTATCTCTTCTTTCTTCAAAATTTTCTTCGTTATTCTGAACCTCATTCTCTTGTACCAAACCTCCACCATTAAAGTTATTTCTAGTTCTTGAAGCTATACTTGATAAGGAATTTGGAGGGTTTGTGGTGGATGCAGTGATATTCACAGTGCATTGTCCTAAGCTAGCAGGAATCTGTACGGTTGCGTTCACTTGAATCTGAACTCCTGAATTGGAATCTAGAAGTACGGAATTACGATTTTCGGATACTCGAGGGCTGTTCGGTTTGTTGTGATAAAGGTTTTGGACATGACTACAGCAGCAATTCAAGTTTCTTCCTTGCTCTAATTCTTGTTCACTTTTCTCAGAATTTTTAGATTCTTGGAATTGCAATATTGGCGTACTGGTAACTTGGAAACTTGAGAGAACTGGCTTCTCGTTGTTTCCTCCTGTGAAATTTCCTGCTGAAGTTCTCTCTTCTATCTTCTGTGGTAGGATGTTTCTTCGAGTTCCTGGTAGCTCTTGACACCCACTCGGAGGTAGTAAAACCATCCTGCCGCCACAATTCATATTTTGTTGATGATCCTTTGACTCTGAGAGTGTGATCAGAGCTTCTTGATTTTCAGTTGATGTCTTCTGTACAAAACATCCACCACCAGATAATTTTGGACGGATTTCTACGTGTGGCGTTTGCATAAGG